CGGACCTTACGTCCGTATAAAGCCTCGTATGGGCACATCTTGATCGAAGAATGGTAGCTGTTGTTGTAGGTCAGCTCGACTAACGGAAGGGCATACTCCCAAGTCAGACTTTGGTCCAAGACCACAGCCCACAAGATATCCTCCAAGTACTGGATCACGCGCTCCGACTGACCATCCGTCTGGGGGTGAAAGGCTGTACTAAACTCCAACCTCGTCCCCATGGCTCGGTGCAACGTCCTCCAGAACTGGGATGTGAACTTGGCATCTCGATCCGAAACAATCTCCATGGGCACTCCATGAAGCTTGACGATGTCCTTGACGAACAATTCGGCGTAATCACTCGCCTTCATGGTCGTCCGGACAGGCAGAAAATGAGCAGACTTCGTGAGGCGATCCACTATCACCCAAATCGAATCATGCCCGCTCCTAGATCTCGACAGACCAACCAAGAAATCCATGGCGATGCAATCCCACTTCCACTGGTGAACCTCCAGAGGCTGCAACAATCCTCTCGGTTTCTGGCGCTCAGCCTTCACTTGCTGACACACCAGGCACCCATCCACAAACTTTGCCGTCTGCCTCTTCATGCCTCGCCACCAGAACGTTTTCGTCAGGTCCTGATACATCTTCGTGCTACCAGGATGGATGGTGTACGGGGCACTATGGGCTTCCTTCAAAATCTCTCTCCGCAGCTCCCACACCCTCGGAACACAAAGTCTACCCTCGAAGACCAAGGCTCCATCGAATGCGACTGCGAATCCACCAACTCTACCGGCTGCTGACAACTCCCTCATCCGACATAGGAAACGGTCATTCGGTTGCTCGGCAACTATCCTCTCACGAAGGGTCGGTCCCACAACCAAAGAAGCCAACACACTCCCGGCTGAGGAAGTCGACTCCACTGCCTCCAACTGCAAACGCTCGAACTCCCGAAGGAGGACATCCTGCTGGGTGAACACGCAAGACAACTGGCCATGGCTCCTCCGACTAAGGGTGTCGGCCACCACGTTGGCTTTCCCAGGGTGGTAGCTAATGGTGGAATCGTAGTCCTTGACCAGCTCCAACC